GGGAGACTGGAATGTGTGTGTGGATGTATGGTAGGCAGTGGCAGTGCCTCAGCTTTTGAAAGGAGGCGATGCTGTGGTTGCGGCGGAGACAGGGAGCGGGAAAACGCATGCGTACCTTGTGCCGCTGATCCAGCGCATCCTGGCAGATCGAGCGGCTAAGGGCAAGTCATCTGGTAGCACTCTTCTCCGCTCAGCGAACAACATGCCAGCGGAGGCCTCGCTGCCAACCCAGCTCACGACGAAGACGACTAACCTGTCCCCTCGTGGGACTGCTCATCCGGTTGCTGAGCACGCGCTGGCTGAAGATGGGTCGAAGGATCACACGGAGGAGCTGCGCAGACGTAGAGATTACCGTTATGGGTTTGCGCTTGTGCTGTGTCCAAACTTGTTGTTAACGCAACAAGTGGCAAGTATGGCGAACAGTTTGACTGATGCGAATGGGAGGCCGCTGATCGCGACCGCCATCATTGCAGGAGGGGAGGTAAGATTTGATACCCACCTACATCGTAGCCTTTCTTTTCCCCTCAGGTTCTTTTTTTTTTTTTTTGGGCTGGGGGGGGGGGGGGGGGGTGAGGGGGCGGGGCGGTAGAAAATTTTGGACCATTTGAACCATTTCTCAATTTATGCGTGTTGTGCTTGCACAGGGGCCAGGCTCATCGTATCTGTATTGTTCCCATTTTAACGGATGTCCCGAAGTATGCTCCACCGGACCACCTTTTGTTCCTAATTTAGTAATTTTGATCTGTCCACCCGATTGTTCTTCTTTTAACGGTTGCGATCTGTTTGATCCAGTATCAATGCAATGGTCATGGGCATCTTGCAATGCACTACTGCTCTGCAATGCACTTCCCTCTTGACTTCAAAAGAATGGATTGCCTTCAGTGCCTTGCTTGCTCTATGAGTTCTGCCGCGAGATACTGTCTGTCGATCTTCATCAATCGAATGGCTGTTTGTGATCAGCAGCATGCAGCGTGACCTGGACATGACAGCCTGCACTCAAAGACCATGACATCGCCTCCTGCCCCTTCTCTCTGCCCCCTCTTGTTCGGAAAAGACCAGGTTCGGGGAAGCAGGGCAGGAAGCCTGTGTTCAATGGGCCTTAAGAGTCAGCCTCTAGGTCCTAGAGGATTCGTCAAAGTCCAACATGCCCTCGTAGGCGTGCAAGGCCAGCCAGGCCTGGATTCGTGTATGAGGCTTGAGAAGTCAACAGTGAGGCCCAGTTTGACAATATTTTTCGATGGCGTACACATCTTATGGTCCCAGTTTGGCCACAGTTTGCCCCAGTTTGGCCACAGTTTGCCCCAGTGTGGCCACAGTTTGCCCCAGTTTGACCCAGTTTGCGCTACTTTGCCCCAGTTTGCCCCAGTTTGCCCCAGTTTGTCTCAGTTTGGCCCCAGTTTGTCCCAGTTTGGCCCCAGTTTGCCCCAGTTTGGCCCCAGTTTGGCCCCAGTTTGGCCCCAGTTTGGCCCCAGTTTGGCCCAGTTTGCGCTACTTTGCCCCAGTTTGACCCAGTTTACCCCCGTTTGCCCTAGTTTGTCCCAGTTTACCCCAGTTTGCCCTAGTTTGTCCCAGTTTGGCCCCAGTTTTGTCCGGATTTGGCCCCAGTTTGCCCCAGTTTGACCCAGTTTTGTCCCGATTTGGCCCAGTTCGCCCCAGTTTGACCCAGTTTGACTCACTTTTCCCTAGTTTGACCCAGTTTGACCCAGTGTGACCCAGTTCGACCCAGTTTGACCCAATTCGACCCAGTTTGGCTGCAGATCGCCAACACATCTTAATGGTCCCCAGACAAGGTTTCCAGATGAGTCATACTGGGTGGCGAGCTCCCCGGCCCGAGCAGCGGCAGCCTCAGCCAGCAGGCGGGCAAAGCAGTCTATTTTGCTGTCAGTCAAGTTGCGACACATTTTTCCTTGCGCGCATGCCAGCGCTGGAGTAGGGTGGCATGCTTCCCTGAGGTCTTCAGGAAGACGAGAGGGAGCGTTTGGGTGGGCAGCCATGGGTACGAGATAGTCAGTGACCACCATAGCTACCGTCTTCACCCAAATAGAACGCCCGGTACTTATTGCTGCATCTGGACTGAAAGTTGTGCCTAATGCACAGCTATAATGACCGAGCGTTCTATTCGGGTGAAGACGGTAGCAGGAGGAGGAGGCAGGGTGGACAAGGAGGGCTGGGATAGAAACGGGGGGACAAGGAGGGCTGGGAGAGAAATGGGGGGACAAGGACGGCTGGGAGAGAAACGGGGGGACAAGAAGGGCTTGGAGAGAAACGTGAGAGGGAGAAGAAGCCCGAGCGTGGTGGAAGCTTGATTTTTTGACCTTGCAACTGTAGCTGCATTTTTGAAGAAAACCACCCCTGTGGTGGGAGGTCTGGCGAAGAGAGAGTGAGCATAGATTGATTTATCTGTTAGACAGGCTAACGAGAAGATCCCTCATCAAGAGGAAGAGGAAAGTCCGGAGAGTCCAGAAAGTCCACCATAGCCGGGGGGGATTGATTTGAGGTGGTGGTGGCTGCATGACAAGATTTCGAAGAAGGAGTGGAGAGAGGCGGGAGGATATTGAGGCTCTCATTGTCTTTGTCAAGTCTGAAAGAGTTATTATTCTGTGTTCTGGTTCATTGAACTTCATTCTATCGTCTTCACCCGAATAGAATGGCTGGTCATTATCGCTGTATCCAGACTGAAAGTTGCACCGAATACCGCTACACCGACTGGGCAAAAGTAGCACCCGATACAGCTCTACGATGACTGGGCGTTTTATATTCGCATGGAGATGGTGGTTGCTTTCGTGGGCGCTGTCATTCTTTTTTTTTTTTTTTTGTCGCTAATTGGTTTGATTGGAGGTCTGGTTAACAGAAAACAAAAGAATGTGTGTTGGAATCAGTTGGATGTCATTAATCATCAAGCTTCTGTTGTTGCGAGGGCTCTTTGGATGCAATATATGGTGAAAAAATCAGAAATGGTGAATTTGCGCCTGCCTCTATTTCCTTTTGCGACGTGGAATCCTTTGCACTTGGCTTTGTCGCATTCTCAAGAGAGAGGACAGGATTGCAAATCGGAATTTTAACTGTGTTTGCAGGGCTTTCCAACTCTCTTCTGAACTGACATTGCAGGCAGTGGAGTTAAAAAAGCACAATTTACATCCAAATCTTGTCTGCCACCTTCTACTGCGTATTATGTGATCATATAAAAGGCTATGATGATGACTTCACACCATTGGGTCAGGAAAAACCTCCGAACTTCAATTTTATTCCGCGTTCTTTTGAACTCTCTCTTTGCGTGTGTGTGTGTGTGTGTGTGTGTGTGCGTGTGCGTGCGTGTGTGTGTGTGTGTGTGTGTGTGTGTGTGTGTGTGTGTGTGT